TAAGAGTAAGCATTCCATATCTGACGACACATCAGTAGACTCGGCTTTATAAGACTTCAATGTAAATCGACGCACACTGCCACTGGTATCTGGATTTTATCCTTAAAAGGGACAGTTGCGCCATTTTTTTTTTACCAATCATACTCTAGTCTCAGGAACGGGAATATTGTTTAGCTAAGCTAATCAGTATAGTGTTCACATCTCACCGTCGAAATTTGAGCCTTCAAATCCATGTATGTCCATAATTATCCGCGTTTAAATATTAAAATGACGACTCGTCATTTTAAGCTACTGTGTGATATATAGAAAAGACATATATAGAAATAGTGAGTAAAATTCCTAGTTTGAAGTATTTTTACAGGAATTGTGTGATTTTCATACATTTCTACTACTTCTGAAAACTATTTACGCATTTTAAGACTTAAATCAACCCCCAAAATGCCGCACCAGTACCTTTAAATTCCATTTGAATTTCAATTATCTATTTACTAATTTTCCTGAATTTCATGCTCCTCATATACCACCTCACCCCCCAAATCAAAATTGAAAACCCCTGATATAAATGATACATGTATAATATAAAGATATGAGAATCATTTGTCAACTTTCGATAATATGTCACACTTTTTACCACAATAATGATATATTTATTTACAAATTTTCAAATTATTTAGTCATTGATTGAAAGCGCTTTGATACTGAAATTTCTGTGGCCGGGAGGAAGCATACCAGACTTGAACATCGGAAATATTATTTGAACAAATTTCAATATTTTATTATATTCTATTTTCTTTTTGATCGGTGTTGACTTTCTCATACAACGTGTAATCTCTTGTTTTGTCGATAATTCGAAAAGACAACACACACGTGCATAACTTTTTGCTTTTCCCACACAACTGGTTACAAATCAAGAAATTTGTGTCAGATTGTGTGAAGTAACGCGAAAAACGACGTTATTTGGGCTAGAAGGCACGGAGAACCCACAAAACGTCGCCGATGTTCAAACGCAACAGCTACACTAAACCCGCGATTTTTACGTAATCGTTCGTGAATTTATGACAGAAAAATGATAGAGCTACGATATGTACACGTTTCGTCTGACCTTTGACATTCCGTTAAGTTACACCTGGCTAAAACCGTATCTCGAGCACTGCGCGAGCTTATACATCACGACATTTAAATTCTGCGGGACAGCATTTGCCGTATGATATAACTTCCGGTCTTAAATCACCAGCATGTTAGGCCTCAAATTGTCCAAGATGAAAGAGTTTTCAGTAATTTTTTGTCAAACTTTAGTATGTTTGTTACATTTGTACATTTCGTGCTAATTTTGTCACTTGGTCCAAAATTTGGACAACTGCGTTACCTAATTAAAAGTGTCTACACGTTCGAGGCGAAGTTGTCACTAAGGGAACGACGAAGCGAGCAGAATTTTAAATTTTGTAATACTTTAACAACAAACGGAGAATTCATTGATTAATTACAGAAAATATCTTATCATTTTAAAATTGTCAAATACAAAATATTGTCAACATATCAGAATTTGCATGTAAAATGTACCAATATCATTTGCATTTGTATACATCATTATGTCAAGTATTTGTATATATTGTACACCAAAATATTTTGTATAAATGTCCTTATGTGCCATGTACATTTTTTTAACTAATTTTTTTTGCATCATGTTAAGAATTTGTAAAAATATGTATATGTTTCCATTACACAGTCATATTGTACATGTACTGGAAATCACAATTTGTCTTGTACATGGTTATTGTCATTATAGTATAGACCATGTACATATTTTAATATTTATGTTTTGCATCATGTTAAAAAAAATGCATTTATGGTGTTCCATGTTATGTATAAATGTGTTATGTTTTATTTTGTATGTACAATTGTTTCAATTACACATGATGTACATTGTCTGACTTTCTTATTTGGCTTGTAGATATTGATTTTCATTATTTTTTTTTATTATGGTAAATAATGAAATTATTATGCATAATATACATTTTTCATGTTTCATGAATTATAATTAATATTTATTTTACATGAACACATTATTTGCACCGTATATATCCAAATATATATGCATAAAGTTTTGATACATTTTGCATATCCACATGTTCACCCCCGCCTCCCACCAACCCCTACGCCTTATGTATGTATTAGATTATCATATAAATTTTCTAGTGTTATGTAGGGCATTTGTATGAATCATGTATACATACATCTTACATGTCTTAATGTAACTATTTCCCAGTTGCACACTTCAGATCTATTATTTATTTTAGCCTTTCTTCCCTTGCCTTTTGTATATATTAGACTTTTATAGACATATGCATTTTCATGCATAATAATATTGTGTATATTTTTTTTTAATATTTAAATTGTAATACCCTCGCTCTTGATCATTTATTATTAATTATTCTTTTGAATTATTTGTATATTGTTATTCTTTGAGTTTGTTATTGCTGATTTATAAATTGAATTTTGTTATTGTCTTTTTGCATTTTGAATTGCTTTATTGGACTCTGATATTTGGTACATTGCCATGGATGTTTATTACTTTGTCACTTTTTTGTCATTGCTGAACTGTATTTTGTGTATTTCACATTGTATTTATTGTATCTTGTGGATGTAAAATTGTATTTTGTTATTGTTAAATTTTGTTTACTATTGTGATAATACATTTTCTTTTTGTAATTATTAAATTGTATATTTAGAGTTATATTTCAGGCATATTCAATATCTGTCGGTCGTCTATTTATAAACAAAAGATGTGGTAGTATATATATATTATTAGTAGGAATATCAAAGTATAATGGATTTAGTTTGTATCTAAAATATTTGATAAGAAGCAAGCATCTGTGCATATATAAACAATAATATCAAGAACAATATATTTCACTGTTAAAATAATTCCCAATGCATTAATTATTGAGCAACGTAAAAATATATAAAGTGAAATTCGCTCTGTATGCATTGGAATGCTGGGATGGACCGCATAAATGTATGTCTATGCATGCGATAACATCCCATGCATCTAAATAGACACACTTTCATATGATAGCGTCATTTTAGGTATTACTCACATGTATGTCTATGCATCCTATAATAGCCCATTTGCATCTAGATACGACAGGATAACTTTGGGACCTTATGGCGTTTAATGTCATCGTTTAAAAGTTTCTTGTGAACTATTAAAGTCCCTAAAAACCGAAATCAAAGAGTGATCTAAAAAAAATCCATCAAAGATAGATTGTCATAACTGCCACATCGCAATTTGACAAAATATGATTGGAATCGTTTGCGTTTTTGATTTACACTATACAGTTCGCCGCAAATTACGTACGTTAATGTTTTACTTTTTCTTACCTGGACTGCAAGGAGCGCTGTCGTTCTGGCTTTCGCCTTTGATCTCACTGGAAACACCTAACAAGCTCTCGATATCATACGGTGATTTCTTCTTCAACGATAAATCCATCTTCTTTTTTCTACTTTCACTTTGCGTCAACATTAAATAAAAATATCCTCAAAGTATATTTTACAACGATTTCTTTTATTTGTTGTACAACGAGATGCTTAAGACCGTTGTCATTGCACTTAAGGTTATGTATTCAAAAGTTACGCAAATCCAAAATTACTATCACAAAGTCTTTGATTTTGCACTAATCATAAGTAAGATATCGCATGAAAGTTCCGATATAGATCACGAAGCGTATCCGAATATAAAACTAAATTGGCGATATTCCGATCTGAAAATGTGATTTAAACCTCGATAAAAGTTAATAATTTTAAAGTGTCGTGAAACAGTAGCTTTATTCTGTGGTATCAAATCGTTTCTTAAATCGTCATCGCTTCATTTGTTTATCTTTTCGTTTTATTTGTTTTAAAGAATCCGTCATTTGTCAAGAATAAGAAAGTTTGAAATTAATTGACAAGGCGTGAACCAATCCTGGCAAGCTAATGATTAAGCTCCGCCCACCTCTTTAGCCTTTCTGAAAAGAACGTGCCGAGTGTATGGCACGCGATACGACGTTAAAAGCTATCATTATATAAAGATAAATACAGAATAAGAAGCCTAGATGTCATTTTAATTTAAAGTCAACGCTTCCATAAAAGATTTCAAATTGACTGACTAAATAAATCTATTATCGGACTGAAATTTAAACCAATTAGGCATTTCTCGCCCACTTCTCGCCCGTTAGTTTCGTATCCAGTTTCAGTGAAAATTGGGATTCGGTTACCTTTTCATTCAGGGACACTTCAATTCTGAATTCGTGTCAGAAAAGAAAGAAGTTTTGTTCCCATGAATATATTCATACTAAAAATGTTGATTTTACGAAATGGAGGGGATCGTCTCAATATTGACTTCACGTAAATTAGACAATGTCTTCTTTAATAATGTTCAATTATTCAAAATGAATACGATATATTTTTACTTAGTGGCCCCTTTCAAATTATAGATAGAACAGATTTTGACATTATTTCGTAGGGTATGTAAGTACTAGCAAGGCCAGTGTATATTTTCTGCGAAGGTCTTGCCTTGAACCTCAATGTTTGGGGTTTGTTCAGCCAGTATATCTCAGCCTTACGTTTATCTTTATCAGTTTATCTTGGCCTAATTTGTAGACTGGTTCAACAAGCATATCTCAGCTCAATTTGTGGGTTAAATCAGCAACCACATCTCATACCAACTTTGGGCTGGTTAGGCAAATTTATTTCTGACTAACTTGAGGGACGTTTTATTAAGTATTTCTCAGCCTAACTCGGGGAATTGTTCAGCAGCCTTACCTGGTGGTTAACTCCTTAAATTTGGGACTGGTTCAGCAACTATACTTCACCTTAAATTGGGGATTGGTTCAGCACCTATACTTCCAACCTAAATTGGGGACTGGTTCAGGACCTATACTTCCAAAGTGGGGACTGGTTCAGCAACTACACTTCAGCTTAAATTGAGGACTGGTTCAACAACTATACTTCACCTTAAATTGGGGACTGGATTAGCAACTATACTTCACCTTAAATTGGGGACTGGATTAGCAACTATATTTCACCTTAAATTGGGGATTGGTTCAGCAACTATACTTCAGCTTAAATTGGGGATTGGTTCAGCAACTATACTTCAGCTTAAATTGGGGATTGGTTTAGCAACTATACTTCACCTTAAATTGGGGACTGGATTAGCAACTATATTTCACCTTAAATTGGGGATTGGTTCAGCAACTATACTTCAGCTTAAATTGGGGATTGGTTCAGCAACTATACTTCACCTTAAATTGGGGATTGGTTTAGCAACTATACTTCACCTTAAATTGGGGATTGGTGTAGCATCGATACTTCACCTTAAATTGGGGATTGGTTCAGCAACTATACTTCACCTTAAATTGGGGATTGGTTCAGCATCGATACTTCAGCTTAAATTGGGGACTGGTTCAGCAGCTACACTTCCCCTTAAATTGGGGACTGGTCTAGAAACCATACTTCGACTTAAATTGGGGACTGGTTCATCCAATATATCTTATTTCTAAAAATTGAAATTTCATGTGATATTTAAGTAAAAGATTGTTTTCCAAACGAGTGAAAGTAATTTGTTTTAAAACAAGTGAAACCGGGTTATAATTTTACAAATTATAATTTTACAAAATATGCAAAATAACATGTTATAAATTTACCAAAAAATAGGATGAAATTCATGTTATATTGATAATGAAATAACGAATGAAACCGTTACAATTTTACAAAAAAACTAGTAATTAAATACGAGTTATATTGATGAAAAAAACCAGCAAAATAACAAGTGAAACTAAGGTAATGATTTTACAAAAAAAAAACTTGAAATGAAACTCAAGTTATATTGAAATGCAAAATGATAAACCTTGGTTATGATGGAATGAAATTACAAGTGAGGGCCATTTTGTTATTTTACAAAAAGCTAGCATTGAAACTCAAGTAATATCGATGACAAAATATGCAAAATAACAAGTGCAACCCAAATCATTATTTTACTTAAAGCTAGCATTGAAGCTCAAGTAATATTGAAAACAAAATATGCAAAATAACAAGTGAAACATGTGTTATGATTTTATAAAAAAAATATAGGTATGAAACTCAAGTACTATTGATAACAAAAAATCACAAAATAACAAGTGAAACCAGCGTAATGATTTTACATCAAAATATGAATAAAACTCAGATTAAATTAATAACAAAATATGCAAAATAACAAGTGAAACCTGTGTTATGATTTTATAAAAAAATATAGGTATGAAACTCAAGTACTATTGATAACAAAAAATCACAAAATAACAAGTGAAACCAGCGTAATGATTTTACATCAAAATATGAATAAAACTCAGATTAAATTAATAACAAAATATGCAAAATAACAAGTGAAACCTGTGTTATGATTTTATAAAAAATATGAGTATGAAACTCAAGTAATATTTATAACAAAATTCACAAAATAACAAGTGAAACCAGCGTATGATTTTACATAAAAATATGAATAAAACTCAGATTAAATTAATAACAAAATATGCAACATAACAAGTGAAAGCCGGATGATAATTTCATGAAAAAAATAAAAATGAAACTCATGTAATATTCATAACAAAATATGCAAATTAACAAGTCAAACTCAAGTTATAATTCGTAAAAAAATCTTAAGTAATATTCATAACAAATTATGCAAAATAACAAGTTAAACCCGAATTATGATTTTTTTTTTTAAAAGAATGAAATAGATGTGTGATATTTATAACAAAACATGTAAACTGACATTGAAAATGAAATTTCTGTAAAAGTGCATGGTGTTCTTTAGTTTTTGGGTAACAATTTAACGAAAATTATGAATGAAATCGAAATAATATTCTTTTCACATATGAAACGTACAAATAAAACGAATGTTTAAAGCAATAGATTTAAAAATAAAAAAATATCCATAAATTACCAATGAAACTTAATTTTTTTTTACAAAATATGTCAAGTTACGATTAAAACCTAAGTAAAAGTTTCTAAAAAAGATATAACATAGAATAATGTTATTGCATTAATAAAACATAGATTTTAATTTTCAATTTACATTATTTCTTCATGTTTTAGAATCTGAGTCCATCTCGTTGCTTTCTTTCTTTCGGCTTACGGTTACACGAGTATACAAAAGTTAACGGTAACGATCATAACCAAATTTTTAAAGATTAATTTTAATCAGATTTCGGGATTCTTGATGCTGATCTGAAAGATAGATAGCTGAATTCGCTGCGTTATCAGAATTTAGACACGAGCAATTAAAACCAAATTACGCTCGTACTGTGGTATAAATTCATATTAACTAGAGAATTAATTGACCTCATTAATTACCGAAATTCTACTTTCAATTTATCTTTGATATCTTTAAATAGATTACTACTGGTGTTCCAATTAAATTATTTTCTGTTGGTTTTCACCATATTCTTCTGTAAGAATTTTGGTACACTCTGTCCTGCGAGGCAAAAATACTGGAATAGAATATTTCTGAAATTTTTCGGTATCATTCTGTTGGACTACTCTAATTAGTTTTTACCTCCCGACTCGAATTCATCTATTATGAATACGGAATTTTGACTTTAGTTTGACGTTGAACCAAAAAGAGTTAACGTAAAATCATTGATAAAATATTTCTCTTGTAAGAAATTTAAACTATAATTCAGTTTTCAGTTTGATCTTTATGGTTTCTGCAAATCTAGCAAACAGAGGCATGTCTAGATTATGACATTCTTTTCCGAAAAGCCTTCATTTTGAGTTCAAATATTACCGCTACTCCTAAAAAGAACAGAAACCTTATTTTAAATCAATTCTGAAAGGTTTCTGTTGATGGATCTTACAAATCTTGGATCTTTTCTGGAAATTAGTTATATGAATGGTAAGAATTTTAGTCCACTGTCTGAGGTGTCTTATCTTCATCATAACGGGCAGTATGCTGCTTTGAAGATCCCGAAATTGACCTTGTAGCAAGGTCGAATTCTAGGTAAGATACTAATCAAATATACTTAGCTTTGATGCCTTGGAATCAACATAATTGATAAACGGCTTTCAACATTATCATTGATTTTAGTTGATAAAATGCATATGTGTACTAAATATATTCATTTCGCTTCGTTCAACACACGCCGCTTCCATAAACGGCGTCTTTCTGAAATTTTTTCTTTCAGATTCTGTACCTGATTCAGAATTTTTGATTCGAGAAAATATACATTCGAATCCGATTCCAAACATAAACACACGGTATCTAATGGTGTCTAACCTGTCACCAGTTGCGTGTGGTTGCGAAAAAGAATAGCGGTCATACTCATAAGCTGTGAAATGCGTTCGGAACTATACGCAACTGGTAATAGCTATGGTGTTAAAGTCCTACTGATTCTACTGATACAAATAAAAGGACCTCTTGCACAAGCGAGCAATGTATTCGAAACGAGGAAGACAAGCAGCTATAATACAGACAAATTGGACAAAGACTGCCAGTGCTTATTTTCTTGATAATTACATGGAAAACATGTAAGTTGTATTCCTTGGAGTGAATCGGAGTATCGGAGACACCAGTAACTTCTATTTGCATCACTTAAATTTAACGTCTGAGTTTTGTGACATTTCAGAAAATATTTTACTTCAAATACGGGACTGCTATAATGGTTACACACTATGCCTAAAAATAATATCAATTCTGTTTGAAATAGTCGAATTCTGGTAGTTTAACCAGTGGTAGCGCCAGCCTTCCTAGACTGGGGGTAGAAATAGGGGGCAAACTGACTTAATGAGAGTTCTGTCGAGCCATACGAAACTATGTATGGTTCTTACATGGAGATAACACAGTATTACAAACCCACCTGTAACGCCACTCACATCGTCACTGGGTTTCACCAATAGCAATGGTGATGACTGTATAATTTTAACATGGAAAAACGCACAATCAAAATTTTCCACAAACGGTAGATAACTTCAATCTAAACTGAATATTTCAGACAACAGTTATCTCGTTACGCTTTATACACTGTGAGGTAAATGTTTGCCCTTTCTATTTCAGATTAATTTAAAGCTCACTTTACCTTTCAGCCGTCAGACACAAAATCGTTTAAAGGGACAGTATGCACAGATTTCATTATCAAAAACACTTTAGCACCTACCAAAAGCATAAAGTACTTTAAAAGTTAACGTTAACCTTTAAAATAGATAGGTGATAAAAAAAATTAACGGCAAGATTTTTTTAGATAAAACTTTCAGATAAGTTAAGGGACACATTTCTCTAAATTTTGGGTGGATGATTTTCATAAATTTTACCAAAATGAAAGCCCCCTTAAAGACTGTGTCATGGTACCCCAGAGTCAACATTTCCTCTTCCTAAAAAAGTGACTTAGTTCTGTGCGCAATTACCCATTTTGATAACGGCAGTTTTTCAGTTTTGAAAAGAAAGCAAAACTGGAGAAGGTTTGCCATTCAATCATGTTGTAAGGTCCGGTGACCTTGAATAAGTCATATTCATTTAAAATTTCAGTCTACCCGCTGAAAATGGGTACGGATAATAAATGCTAATAGGTTTGGCTAGCTACCGGTAGAAAGGATCCTCAACTGTGAACTTAAGTTGTTATTCTTGTAAAATATACTTGTTTCATTTCTTTCTTGCTTATCTTCAGTTGCCTGTTGGTATGTAAAGATGCAGGGCAGATCAAACACCTTTTTCGCCCACATCCAGTTTTTCGACGACTGTATAACGGTATAAATAACCTCTTAATATAATATATAGACTCGTATATATCCATTCTGCCAACACGTTTCCGTATTTGTTATCGTCTGCTTGTTTGTTCTACTGACGTCAAAACCACAGGGCCCAGAAAACACTGTTTTTACTGCAACCAATACCTAAAACTAAGTTCCGATTTGTATGAAATTGTGGTGTAAATGGAATGAAATGAAATGAATGGAGTTTTAGGTAATACTCTCCAGCACCCAATTAGGCTAATGGCAATATCCTACTCTTCCAACTGCCTGGGAATCAAAAGTTGAATTTTGATCCTCTTCCTATCATTGTGAAGCAGAATTCGCCAAGCGTTGGATTGTTCACCCACCAACAGTGAACTTGACCTGGGATTAGACCGTCGTGAGACAAGTTAGTTTTACCCTCTTTCGACACTTTCCGTCGAGGGCTCTGATTGGCTGTATTCTTTGGCGTACAATCTAATCAAGTCACCGCATTCCGTGATACTAAATAGGTCACAAGTGCAGTCAAGGTAGCAGTACTGAGTTCGTAATAGTTTGGTATTGTGAATATGCACATCGGTCCTGATGAGTTGGTCTACTCCTTCGTCAGATCAAGACCCATCCCATTTCCAAACCAGTTGTCCTGATGATGTTTTCGTGACTTAATAAGTTTCTTGTATTTATAAATATTTTCATCAGTTACCTCCCTTGAACTATAAAATTCCACCAGTTTAATCACTATTTTACTCTTACGGACACCTGATACCACTTCTAATAATGAAATATTTCCCCATTTCTC